GGTATGGATGCTAACCACTACGCCGGGGTCGCCCCCCTGATTTGCTCAATGGAGATTTACGTAAATCCGCACTGAGACCATAATATAGAAATTATACAGATTTTTTTTACAGATTTATGTTAGCCAGATACAGATTAATAACATTTTTTACGATGAAAATCAGGCCTTGATGGAGCTTCTCTCGCGAGTTTGAAATGAGCCGAGCGTAGCATTTTTCTGAGGAGTAGAATGCCTACTGCCAAATCATTCCACTGAGCTTCAGAGCTTGTGAGCGAAGGAGGATAAAATAAGAGTGAGGTTTGCTGCCATTCATAGATGAGTGCACGGATGGATTTGAGTTCACTCACTCGACAAAAAGTGACACAACAGCGGGGCCCTGTTTACTAAAAATGAACACATGAATAATACTCACGTAACATTTGAAACGGGTACGCTCACGCAAACTGACAATACCATCGGGCAGAGGAAATTCTCCCCTTCTCGATAGTGCTCTTGCATTAAATGGGCGTACTTCGGTTCTCGTGAAAAGAACCTAACAAATTATTTACAAAAGTTGATAGGCCCTTTTCAAATGTTACGGTAGCATTATTCATGTGTTCATTTTTAGTAAACAGGGCCCGCTGTTGTGTAAAAAAAAAATTTCAGTAGATAAACTAAAGTTCACCCGTGCACAGGTCTATGTTCAAGTTTTCAATCACTCGCTCTTACTCTCACTCTGGGTGAGCTCTGACTTGCTTCGAACAAAAAAGTCATCCGGAGTCTCGAAAAGCGCACTTCACGTCAAATCATCCTCTCGCTGAAGTTCACTCTCCCTCTCTCTCGAAGAGTTTTTGTTTACTTCTTCCATATTCCTGCCGCCACTCACTCGAGGTGTTTTAAAACCTCCAGTGAGTTTGAGGAGTTTCATCAAGCCTGATGAAAATACAGATTGAACTTCGAAAAAATGTGGCATCACTGGATGTGTGAAGGAAACTGCATCCATATCGATATAAATATAATTTTCTGGATCTTGCATTTGGTTCTGCGACACGTTCGAAGTATTCACAATTTGTTTATAAAAATTTACTCATAACTTAACAGGATTTGATAGGATTGTTCTCAATCATTTTATTTCAAAGAGTTCTTTTCAGAATTCTTCTAAATTTGAAATTCTCTCTGGAAGTCCCTTGAAAATTTCTGTAGAACTTTCCAAAAATTCTAGAGATTTGTCTATAGATTCTCATCAAATTTTAAACTCTTTCACTGAATTCACTGAAGCTTACACTTTTGTTAATTCGCTTTAATTGTCGGAATTCTTCGTATAATTCCCATGCAATTCTCCTCAGAATTCTCGACCAACAATTGAAAGCTTTTGAGAGCAAAACTTGCAATCCCCTTTTCCTGCCAACACCATCGGACAGGGGAAATTCTCCCGTCGAGAATTGTCTTCATATATTGCTCAGAATTACAGGGTGTCCATTCAAATTCAATATTTAAATTCCCGGTTTTTTCCCGGTTATTTGAAAAAAAAACCCCAAAAGGCATTAAAAAAACCGTTTATAGATAACCATATATTTTTAGCAGAATTGCTCTACAATACGTTTACTCCGCAGAAAACATGTGATATGAGATTTACATTAACATGTTGATGATCTAGATGTCTCCTGCAAAAAAATAAGCCTGAAGGTTATGTTGGTATGTCGTGAAAAACATACATCAATACAAGGGACCTGAGCAGGCGAATCGCAGTATTAAAAGTTAGGTCTTGAGAACCAGCCCAAGGCTGAAAGTCTCTTTAAAAAGGAAAAAAAAAAAAAAGTTATGTCATGAAGTTAGTTAAGCCAAACAACATTTTGTGGGTTACTAAAACAGATTACTAAAATGTTTATCATTCTCCTAATTGTCCTGGAGATGTTGACTAACGAAGGATCACTTGAAACGAGAGCAGCAATTTTCCCTGGAAATTGAGGATTACATTATGTTTGGAGAAGAACAGGATCTGTCTTAAAATTTGGTGACATCCATCCATTAAGTAAACATTAAATTTATTCCAGTATATGACATACAATGCAATTATAAATGCAACAATATTCAAAAACTAAATACAACAGGGCATTGTTTGCTGTCTGTTGCCGCGGGTATTGTGGATTTCCTTGGTACCCGGTTCAAGCTTCTTGGCTGCGGTAGCTCTCTGAATAGATAATGCTGAACAGGGCATCTATGTGATGTTTTGCTGTACCTGTTGTGGACATTAGCACATCCTTTTCCTTAAACTTGTTGAGGACGCCTTTTCTTGCCTCACAAGTTATCCTTGTTAATGTACTGAGCTTCACAACATAAATGACACCATTAAGGAGCATTAGATTTGATCAAATTATTCGCAGTTATATTTGTCCAACGCTCCCAGCTGGGTGAAGGGTAGAGGATGACACACACACATTATCAAAATTGTCTTGGAGATATTTTACAAGCAAAAAACGCACCAATCTACTCAAAGATTAAATTTTGTCAGACGCAACTAAGTGCATATTAAAAGACGCACATACTCATTTCGAGATTAAATTTTGCAACAACTATCAACGTCTAGCGGCTACGGAAATGGATTTTTATCAACCCTCAGGATCTCAGTTGAACTCTGTGGGAGCTAAATTTATGTTAGGCCCAAAATCATGAAAATACCGTTTTTTTTCTTTGGTTTGTCCCTGCATATTGACCCATCAACTCATGAACCGGGGACCAACGGCTTTACTTATCTTCCGAAGGAAGGCGTGATCAGAGTTTTGAACCCAGGCCTTTAGGGGTGAGAGGTAATGACGGTAACCACTACTCTAATCGATTAAAATTAAATTTAAGATAGGATCAACAACACACTTACCCTAGATTATTAAAATGGAATAAATTATCTAGAGTTGAAATAAAAATCAAAATATTAATGATTCCGTGAACCATTTGGGCAGTTAACGTTCTCGTCTGTTCGGAACAATTCTTGTCTTACTTTGTACGCTGATTTTTAATTATCCTATCTAACACGAACTTTTTGGCTGGTTGGATGTCTGTATTAAGGAGAATTTCAGACTGAGGAAAACAAATTTGATACGAAATCAAGCGTTTTGATGAGGCAAATTCTTTAAGGCGAAAGGGGGCGTCATTCATATTTAGTTATTTAAAAGTAGTTTTTTTCGTTTAAAACCGAACTTCTGTCAATGGAAATGTGTCCTCTGTGGCAGGAAAGTAGAATGCAATGAACACATTTTCATGAACAAAATCTTCGTTTTGAACGAAAAAACTGTTTCTGGAATTTTTGAAAATGAATGACGACTCCTTGTGGACGGACGCGGAACGGCAGCAGCAAGGTTTGAAAGTTATCGCAAATGTAGCCAAGATGTCTAACCAGAGTCAATTTGGTTTCAACTATTTTCCTGTCCGACAAATAGACTTACTCAGATCGGGCTTTTCCGCTGCCACTACCATTGCGTTCAGGCCTTTACTCTCAATACTAGCTATAAAAAGTGACTTTAGTGACTACATTTTCGAAGTAGTGACTTCAGTGACATTTTGGTGAAAAAAGTGACATTTTAGTGACTGACTGGAAAATAGTGACCAAGCCTCTAAAAATCGACCAAGAGATGTGCAACAGCTACGATTTCAGCCCCATCGCAGATGCATATTGCTTTGAGTCCGATTCAGAATGGATAACAGAAACAGAATCTAGTTATTACGCGATGAACTAGCCTACGGCTAAAAATCACGATAATAAAGAAAAAAAGAAGTCTGGAGCGTCCCTGTCAATCAAAATCTTGCCTACGTCACCGACCGTCGTTATCGTCCCCCACCTAAATGGGTAAAGCACTTTTCCTGTTCTCACTCGATGCATACATTACATTACATTACACCGCACTAAATGAACACCCGCTCATTCCTACATATGCTCTCACTCTCTCTCTCTCTCGCAACGCTTAATCTTCCATCAGTCAGGGCCTCCTCCAACGGTTAGTTGCCTAGATTCACGCAGGTCGTGGACAAGCGGAAACGCAACTGCCGTCCGTCCCCTTGGAGCTTGGGTGCCAGGGGGCAGAGGCTGCTTTAACCGAGTGCTAATTAATATTCTTAACCACAATGTATGCTATAATGGTGTGCCGTGCTGAGCCGTGCGACAGCGACCGGCAAGTTGCGCATTATCCACACTCACTTTTAGTTTTTTTTTAAACCAACTTCTGTATTCTACTCACAGAGAGCAAGGCTAGGAATTCTGCGCAAAGTCTCACGAGTCTCTTAGATGCGGAGCTTGAGGTGGAGCGCGGTTCTTACGAGTCATTGTTGTCCATCGACCGCCGGTCGATTGAACGACGACAACGGCAGTAGAACTAGAATTGAATTTCAAGCAAGGTGATCAAGAAGAACAACTTTCGCGCAATTCCTGCGTGGTTTATCCGAGGTTTCTAGGAAATCGCGGTCAAACGGAGAACCAACACCCACGCAACCTTTGGCGTTGAGCGATTAGGAAGGCTTCGGGTTTTCCGCAGATTAAGCGCAAAATGTCAGTCGGTATGTTTGAGATTCTAGTTGAACGAGGTGGGTTTGGGGCATGAATGTATGTCACCTCAATCCATTTGATTTGAGGTGCCTGGTGCTGGTGGTGGTAGTGAACACGGCGTCGTCAGCAACGACAACAGCAGTGGCAAGTGGTTTATGCTAATTCAGGTGCCGGGTCTCGCGCTATGCTGAGTTGAGCCGCCGCCGGTCGTTGTCGTCGAAATTTATTACATTCAACAAATCCAACGCAAACCGGGTAAATGGCATTCTCGCGTTTTCCGGTTTCTGGTTGTGCGAGCCGCCACCACGAAAGCAAGAGTTGTGTTTTCCTAATCGCTTTGATCGTGGACGAACCTACGCTCGAAAAACTCGGAACAAAGAGTAGTTTAATCTCAAGCATTTGCTAGCAAACGCTTCAGATTAAAGTTGTTCCATTTAGATGCCTTCTCATCAATTGCACAATATCTTTAGCAATTTTTGCTCTTTACCTTCTTCTCCAAAAACTTTTACGTTGTTCTCCTCTGGATTGATCCACTCTGCCACACCGGCTATGCTTCGATGTTCGACGGCAGACTCTGTGTACTGGATAGGTGTATCTCGCTCTCGAAAGCAAGCAATCTAACTGTTATTTAATTACTTTTTTTCTTCTCGATGCTGCTGCTGCTGCTTATTCCGGAGTGATGTAGAGTTTTAGTTACCCCCCTCTTCTTATGCTTAGCTTGTTTTTCCTCCGTTCGGCACTTGAGCTGCTTTTCTTCGGCAGGTTTCTTAACGCACTTTTTTTTCTCTGGTCACTATTATTTACTTCTCTTTTCACTTTTCTTCGCCTTCGGCTTTCAACGACGGGGTTTGGCAGCGCGCCTCTTGGCAGAACACTTTATTACACAATTTGAGATACAAACTGCGGCATTACCGATGGGAAACTCTTCTTGATTTTTTTCGTGTCTGGTTTGTTCCGATTTCTCTGAGTGACGAATGGAATTCAGCTTGTCTAATGTCGAACACCGAGCACTATTATGCTTGAAGCAGTTTATGGTGGTGTGTTGCTTGGTGCTTTACCTTCGGAAAATAATAGGACATTTATCAGAATTGATGTTGGTCAACTGGAAGCAAGTTGAGAGAGTTAGCTGACGTTAAGCAACGGTATGGAAACCACTATTTGGATGGTTTTTTTTTTCAAAGACTTATGAACAAAGGATCAATTTCAACTTAACGTTTAATATTTGTCAACTAACGTCAGTTGTTTTTTACTTACAACACAATGTTTCCATTAACTAAACATCATCATCATTATAAGTAAGCACTGCCCAACAAACAATTTGAGTAGATTAACAGCTGAATAAGCCATTTTTTAGCTGAAGAACTTATGTTTGCCTGAATAAGCTCTTATTAAAAATTCAATGTTGGTTGGGTGCTTAACGTCCTGAGTCGATTTGTTATATTGGTTTCAAAATTGCCGACAATAGCCTTGATGCTCTCAAGGCACAAAGGCTTGAAACGCTGAAATCGCTTCAACATGTATGAACAAGCAAAATAACCATGTTTAGCTTTAAAAAAATAGCAAAATAGCCTTTAAACTCCGGATCCAAAACCATAAAAATGGTCTAGACAACAATAACCCAGTATGAAAAATTGCTTTTAAAACTCCAGAACTAGCCTAAAAACGCCAAAAACGGTCTTCAAATTCCCACGGATTGAAAATGCCAACATAGGACTTAAACCATCAAAATAGTGTCCGGTAATTTGACCGAATATTTGATAAGATTTTTGAACACTACTAGACTCCTAAATGGCAGTCTTCATAACGATTCATAGCTCAAATTCATTACACAGGGCTGGAAGTGCTTACTTTAGTGACCTAAATTACGGAAATAGTGACCAAATAGTGACTTGAAAATACTAAACAAGTTACCATTCATATGGTAACTTAGAAATTCAAATATGGTTTGATATTGAAATAAGCTTTTCGAACTTAAAATCAAATTTCATATAAATTCCTCTAATTTAATCGAAGCTCACAACGGAATCTCCTGTGAAGAGCATTTGAAGTGATTTGAATAATTTACTTTTGCTTACGTTATACATGATGACTAGCAAGTAGTAATTCCCATTTTTTTATGATCTTGAATTTGATTCTGCTTGAATTTTGATATATCTAGGTAGATAACGGTGATAATTCGCTAAGAACTTTTCACAGAATTTCTTCAGAATGATCTCAAGAACTTTTTTTAGAATAATTCCCCTTCTCTTAAACTTTGAGGCAAATAAGCTTTTACAAAAATAATAATTCATTTTTGAAATTCTTTGCAGAACAATCAACAAAATTCTTGGAAATAGATTATTTTCGTAGGTGGAAATGCTTAACATCAAATATCAGGATTAAAGTGGACATTTTATACGATAGATGAGGAGATGAAAGTAAACAGTTGATAGTTCCGTTATAGTGTGAAATTTGTATATTGAAAGTAGAAAGCGAACAAAGGACAATTTTGAGGAAGGTACGAATCGCATTCCCTTTACCAAGCTCATCCGTTAATGAGGGATGGTGAGGGGTGTTTCCCCCTGCCACCGGCAAAAGGGATGATCGCCGATTTGCTCATGTACCTCCGATGTGCGGAAACAGTTCTATCGATTGTTTCACACTCAAGTCCCATTTGACTTAAACAACTACCTGATTCGTACCTTCCTCAAAATTGTCCTTTGATGGCTTTCTTCTTTGTTTATACAATTTTCACACTGCCGTACTATAACGGAACTATCAACTCTATAATTTAATATCAATTGTATAATCGTATAAAATCTCCACTTTAAGTCTGATATTTTACGTTAAGCATCTCCGACTATGTAAATCGTTAAATTAACGCATGATTAGTTAAAGTAGATTATTTTTGATTTTTTATTGATTCTTCAAGGAACTTCCTGAAGGCTCCTTCCAAAAATCAATTTTAAATTTATTCGAATTCTCCTTAGAATTTCCATGCAATTAACCTCAAAATTTTCATAAATTTCTGCTTAGAATAATCTTGGACTTCCCCCTGGATTCAATTGGAAATGCAATTCATATTCTCCTTAGAATTCCCATAGTATTTCCTCAGTATTATAACTTTGAAACTCTTGATTGAACCCTCAAAATTCGATTCTATTGGAATTCTTATCGGAATTTATTTCGAACTCTTTAGAATTTTCATGGAAGTATCTTCAGAAATCACCCCAGAATTCTTTTAGAACTATCCGCAGAGACCATCTTTGGAGTTCACGGGATTTTCATGGAAAATCATTTGCATTCATTTCATACATTCATTTACATTATTATTATTATTATCTCTATTCAGGAGATTTTCAGCCGCAGGCTGGTTCATGTCCGAGATTCATTTACATTCATTTGCCTCTAACTTTTATTATCAACAGCATTCCGCAAAATGATGTATAGAGCTTTTGTAGGTTTTGTTATTAGCTACAAGTTTTGTTCATAATTCAAATCTGTATCTCTTATGCATCACGAACTAGAGCGGTAGAACTTGTTACTGTTTTTCAGTGAATGTAAAATACATTCACTGAAATACAGTAGTGGCTTCTGTTCGCTCTGCTTCGTCATGCATAAGAGATACGGATTTGACTTGTTGACAAAAGTTGTAGATAATAACAAAACCTACAAAAGCTCTGTACATCATTTTGCGGAATGCTTTTGAAGAAAAAAGTTAGAGGTTAATGAATGTAAATGATTTTCCATTGGAATTTTCATCAGAGCTCCCTCAAGCAAAATTTCAGAACTAATTTTGAATTCTTATTAGAATTGGACCTAGAATTCTCTTCCAATCATCATAGAATTCGACTCAGAACTCTCGTTAGAATACACTCTCAATTATATTGGAATTATTTCCAAAATTGTTTCAGAGCTGAATTTTGCGTCTCTAATAATTTAAACAATAATAAAAAGTGACGCTCGTATGTGTTAAGCGAAATTTAACTACATAAGTAAACCTGGCGTAAGATTTAAGCGGAGATAAAGAAATCAGTCCTCAGAGCGCTTAATTTTACATGAGACTTTCGTAGTCTGTACTTTGGTATTCTTCTCTGATATATCTTGGTGTCATCCCTAAAATCCTTTAAATTCTCTTAAATTTAATTAGGATTATTTAAAATTCGTAATCATCTTTGAAAGACTTTTGAAAATCTATCACAGACGTACCTTCGGAAAGTTTACAAGATTTACTATTTATTTTCTGGGAAGGAAGGTAAATTTTCCCCGATTTTTAATCGAAATTGAGGGCATTTCCCAATAGTTTTCCTGGTCTTCTAAAGTTTTGCAGTTCACTGGTCACCCTGGTTAAAATTTTCAATTTTTTAACAGATATGCATATTTTGTTAAAACTACTGTAGACTTTCTTAGAGCCAAGCAATTTAAGCATTTTCACCCACTAAATTTATGCATTTTGTTAATATTTTTAAACTCTTTTGAAAACTCTATTTTAGTAGTGGAAAAGAGACTTTAGTGACTATTTTTAGGGAAATAGTGACTCTAATGACTAAAAAGTGACCTGCTACCATCCCTGAGTAACTATGCCCCCGCTTATCCGACACTCGACAATCCGACCACTCGAAAATCTTGACCTCGTTAATCCGAAAAATACCGGATTGAAAATTTTTAACATGCATTTGAATAGCATGTGCTGCCAGTTTTCAGATTTATGCTGTAACCATGCTTTCTCTTTGTTTTGATTTTTAGTATGGACAGTCGGATCAACTAGTTGAACCCCAGTAATTTGACTATGATTTTGTTGTCAAATAAAAAAAAGTATCGATGAAATGTTCCATAAGCTGTGTAATCCTTATTTTTTTTTAGAAGAACTTTTTTAGAAGCTTCTTTAAGAAGTTCCTAGCAGACACTTGCCCATCGCTACGCTCCGCTAACTACAAAACACGAGTAGAACGGTAAATCTGATGACCACACAATGGAACATTTATTCGGCGGCGGCAGCGTAGAAATTATTTTTACCTCGGCGGCGGCGACGTGCATCGGCATATCACTATGGTGACTGTCAAAATGTCACATTTCAAAGTTGAATTTAAACCAAAATTTTGTATTTTTGTGTATTGGTCATTCCAGCTCAAGTGGGTACCGAATTTAAAAAAAAAGTTGTGTTTGATGTCACCGATTTGAGCCAAACTTGACCAAAACGCTTATTTTGGCATTCTGAACAAACGCCTTTTTTTTATTTTACTCTAAAGTGCCTGGATTCTTCTGGGCTGAAAACCTGGATTTTCGAGATTTTTAAAAAAATCAACTTTCAGAAGAGATTACTCCACAACCAAATAAGCTATTCGTGATCTTAGAACGTCAATTTGAAAGTTTTTTTTAATGTATATTCACATAGGTGTACTCAAATTTGTTTTTTTTTTTTATAGTAACTACAGTAAACAGGCTTATTACCGTCAGGTAGCCAAATCATCAAAAATTGCCTATTTTCACCATGGGCGGGATTTTTTTATTTCTTAATATTTTGGGCTCAAATTCTCACCACACTTTGTAAAACTCTTCTTCTTGATGTGTTTCCAAGGGAAAATGAATTGGACAAATAGTTTCTGAGATATGACCAGATGAGTGAGTGGTAGTTTTGAGCTTTTCTGCTATTTAATATTTTTTTATTTTTTTTCTAGAACTCCTTCATGATTAGTCATGAAAGTATTTTTCACTTTTAGTTATTATTATTAAAGTCCATCTGATTTGATAGTCTCAATGAAACACTTAAATCTAAATGTAGTCACTCATTAAAAATTAAAAATTTGCCGACAGCAAACGATGACGAAATCTGGAGGCATTGATATCAAAGTCAAATAGGTCAGATACTTCGTTGAATTGATGAATCATGGCGACAAAGGAACTGTTTGCAGCATAGTTGGTTGCATGTACTTCTTCATGTAGCAAGGCTCTCGGACGGTGTGTTCGGGCAGGAGCATACAGATTAATTTTGACCAGGAACATCAAATTCTGCGAGCAAAATTTTAGCAACGATGACGACCTGCGATATGTTTCGTCGCTTAGCAAGAGTATCCAAACC